TTTGAAGCATATGCAATGTACCATAAATTTGAGGTGATTCACTTGCACACACCTCTCTCCTGTACAGATTTCCTCCTTTCTGAAGGGGCTAAGATTTGTACTTCAAGGTTTCTCAGCCTGTTTCTCAGCATATGGCCAAAGGGTTTATGAGGCTATGAAACGGACATGAAAAAGCTTCATGTTTCGTGGTCGTGTTGTGTGGTTTGAATAGTTAATGTCTGCATATGCATATTCAGAGCTTCACATCAAAAGGACTTGCATATCATTTGTGTGTAAATACAGGTTTCTACCACTATATGGACAGCTAGTATCACATTATTTCTTATTCCCCTACTTCCCTGTGGGGTTTGCAGGTAACCATAGTGGAAAAATCATGTGATTTTTATTTTTATAGGGACTCAGCTGTTAATGTTCATTGCCAGTCAGACTCTTTTTCATGTCTGGCAGCTCTAAAGAACTTGGGTTGTGTGACTAAATTGGACTGATATAATGCATGCCATTAAAATGGGAATGGTTGTTCAAGGGATTAAGGACTCCTAGGATCCAAGTACTTAAGGTGAACTTAAAAAAAACCCCCACTGAAACACCTACTTATGTAGATTAAAGAAACCCTACAGCCCCCCCAGTAACTTTGCCCCTCGTCCCATGTAATGGATGTATTTAAAGTCAGTCTTGTTCAGCTGATGCTCTGAGTGGTGTAAGTGGTTGCAGTCAGCAATCAAAGTCCTGCCTTGCAGCACTCACAGACCCTCAGCCCTTTTGTGAAACTTCAGTTTTCAGCTGGACCTGTTTGCTGATCCACTGTGCTCTGTGGCCACCAAATCCTTGTGTTGGCAAGGAGGGGTAAAAATGAACACTTGAAGGACAAAGACACTAGGCACTGTACCTTGAGGGTTGACTTGTTAGACAAGAAGTCACAGAAATTTTCTAAAACTCCCAAATGAATGTATTTACTATAAACAATTCTGGGTTTTGATTATTCAAAACAGAATTATTTTTTTTATTACTCAAAACAGAATTATTCACAGTTAACTCTGCCTTTATTTGAGTTAGAGCCATACTGACCTTTTGGCTTCCAGGAGAGAACAACTTGTCTAATTGCAATATTTTCTTCATCAATGATTGCATTGTGCCCTTGCTTCTACTTTTGAGGGCAGATGTTGAAAAACATCTTACTGAAAATAATAGATATATTTTTGAAGATAAACACAACCTTTGTGTTTCTAGACACGTAAGTGTATACAATTTCAAATACTCTAGTGGAAGTGACTTTTCTTCACAGGCTTAGTGCCCTGGTCATTTTTAGTAGTTTAGTAGCAATTTTAACTTTTTGATCTCACCTGTTCAGCATTTAAATATGTTTGATACATTCAGTTGTTATGCTGGGAGTTGATAATTGGAATTTCTGAAGTGCTCATCCCAGCAAACAGATCAAACTTTTTCTAGTTTGGGGAAGGATTCTTCTATCTGTTTTCCAGATTCACAGGATAAATTAGAATGAAGAATGATGGGTGGTGGAAGATTTGAAATTAGACTAAGAAGGACCAAATGTAGCTAACAAAGTGAAGGAAAAGGTGGAAATGCCTTTCAACTTGTGTGTTGTGCTGTACAGGCAGCACTGATGTAGATATGCAGAGATGAATCTGGTCAAGAGGAAACTAAAATACCATAGAATAGGAGATTTTTGCATGGGACTGTTTATGCTTCCATATTAAACACAAGGTCAACAGGTCGTAGACAAAAGGGCAGGTCTGCCAAAAGAAAACACCAAAATATTTGATGAGTAGAGAGGATGGATGCTGAGCTCTGCCACAGAGGGCCTTTCAGGATGGAGAAACCTGAATGTGATGAACAAATAGCTAATCTGATTGCAGGTAATTTATTACTGCTGATTAGTGCTAGATAGTGTTTCCTCAGGGAAGAAATGGATGAGACTTCTCTTGTTGCTGCCCTTCCTTTGCATGGGCCTGGCTCTGTGTTTGCCCTTTGCTGACAGCTGTTGCTCATCTCCAGCTCCCAAGCCAGAAAAGGAGAGCAAACCAGGACTGATGATGAAGGGGGAACTAGGTGGGGAGCAAGGCCAGACCTTGGTGCCCTTCCTGTGGTAAATATTACAGTAGGCACAAATAGAGTTTGGCCTCCAGGGCTGTTTTGACTCGTTTCTTGCTGCTGGTGTTGGTCCTTAGTTTTTGGTGGTGGGGCTGCATGCTGAGGTCCCTGGCAGCAGTGGGGAGAGGCTGTTCTTTCCCAGTGCCTCCTTGGCCCCTCAATCCATTCCTGGCTCTCCAGAACTGACCTAGAGGAGCATCTCCTTAAGTCTTAAGAATGTTGACATCTGTTTTCACACCAACTGCAGGAAACACTGTTTGGTTTTCCTTACTGTTTTTAGGTGCTTATATAAGATGTGTAATGTTACATTTATATGTTTTAATAATTGCTGATGCTACCATTAGTTTGTCTTTGTGTCTGCTGTGTGTCTTCAAAGCAAGCCCTTATTTTCAAAATGTGAAGATAAAAAACCACTGACTTCAAGCAAAAATGTTCCAGGCTTAATTGGACATAATATCAGCAAAATGCACTGGGTTTAAAGTCTATCAAAATAAATGAGAGAAAGTGTAAAGCTTGGACATCTATCCAGTGAGATGAAAAGTTTTCTCTGCTAAAACAGTAAAGCATTGATAACTTGGCAGAAACCTGAATTTAAACTGCTCCATCCTCCTTCTCTGAGAATATTATCACATCTAGCTTGTTTGGGGGGATTGATAGTTATGACAAGTGGATCAAATTTCATGCTGGTGGTATCTTTTATGTTTCCTGGGAGAGGAGAAAATAGCAATTTTATCTTGTGCCCAGGAGTCACAGAGAGCAGGAATTGTAGGTACCTGCCACATGGAGTTTTTAAATAAAAATGAATTGCAAAGCAGCACGTAGCAGAGATGGGGAAGGGGAGGGAAGAGAGGGGAAGGAGTGAGGCATCAACTGTATAGGAGTATTTATTGCAGCTCCTCAGCTTTTATTCTAATGCAGCACTGCAGTGAGTTATGAATATGTACGATCTGCATTTGCTTCAGACAGGAGTTGTCTATTAAAATGTCTATTTGTTTGTGGTTTTTTTTTTTTTTCAGGGGATTTGTAGCTTTTTGGTTTTCTAACCAGAGTTAACTGATTTTGCAAAGATGATGTTTGTATACAGATTTTTGTATAATTCCTGTTTCTGTGCTGTAAATATTGAAAAGGAGATGGTTTTGACTGGTTCCTTGCAAGTCTTATTTGGGGGAAAGTTAATCTGGTCGTATACACTTACAGCTTTACTTTGAAACTTACTTTACGAAAGAACACGAACCCAAACAGTTAGAAAAGCTGAAAGACAAGTTTTAAACTAGCAAAGCCACTTGTGTGTAGGAGAACTGTATTCCCAAGAAATGTCTAACGTCTCGTTCTGCCTTCCTCAGAACAGATGTTTCGAGTCCTAGGACTGGGAGGTGGACCCAGAGTTTCCACACACATTTTGCTGCATTTATGAAAAAACCCCAAGACAAACTCTACAAAAAAAACCCCAGCACAACAAACCCAACCTTTCTTTATGAAAAAAACCCAAGACAAACTCTACAAAAAGAAACCCCAGCACAACAAACCCAACCTTTTCTAAATCATTATTAGGAATAAACACCAAAATTAATGATTTGGTGTGTGACTAGGAAATTAGGGTTATGGTGAAGGCAGGAGAAATTAGCTTTGATCCATAGCAACTTTTCAGTATCTGAAGGAGCTACAAGGAGCCAGAGCGGGACTCTGTGTTAGGAACTGCAGGGACAGGACAAGGGGCAATGGGTTCAAACTGAAGGAGGGAAAGTCTAGGTTGGCTGTGAGGAAAGGGTTTTTTCCTGTGAGGGTGGTGAGACACTGGCCCAGGTTGCCCAGGGAGGCTGTGGCTGCCCCAACCCTGGTGGTGTTCAATCCAGGCTGGATGAGCCTTGAGCAACCTGATCTAGTGAGGAGGTGTCCCTGCCCAGGGCAGGGGTTGGGGCTGGATGATCTCTAAGGTCCTTTCCAACCCTTAAATTCTATGATTCTGTGATTTGTGAGATGTGAATTTTGGCAAGTCACAATAAAGACACACAGTATGGGACTGTATTTTTAAGGGAGCTCAGCACCCAGTATGTTTATTTGGAAGATTTAGCACTGATTGCTGCTTGAAAATCTGTTTATGAACTCCAAAAACCTGTAGGCATGATCCATGTCTCCTTCCAAAGAGTGGAATGAGTTGCCCTGAACTGAGGTGAGCAAACCTGTGTTCTTCACCTCTGACCCCCATGGTAAATGAATTAACCACATTTCCTTTTTCCTACTTTTTGTCTTATTTGGCTATTTCATGGTTTCTTTGACTCATCTACTTCTTACAGAAACGAGATAAACATAATGATAGTAAGAAAGTTAATTGCAAATGAATGGAAGCTTTGGAGAACAGACTAGGTCTGGAATAAATGCCACTAGGGCATAAATTAATCCATATAATGACATAATTTAAAAAAAGAACAGCTCCAGCAGCCTAATTCAGTATCCTCAGGACATAGTTGTGAAGCATATTGCAGTCTCTGCTCTCCAACCCCTGCACACCCAGATATCTCCCTGGGGACTGGGACTGGAGGCTGCTGCCTCTGCCCCAGCCCTGTAGCTTAGGAACTTGTCCCATTTTAGGCTGATCCAAATCAGCAGTGGTGGTTTATGCCCTGTTTGGAGCTGGTTTGTTGCCTCCCAGCTTGTTTTGTCCAGCTCTGCAGTGCAGGGTTTTTGTTAGGACGTGGCTTGGTGTTCCTCTCCCTTTGACTGTGGTTTCATTCAGTGGAAGAGAAGCAGCACTAATAACTTGTGCTCGACATGGAGATGCACAGAGATCTCGGGTGTTTCATTCTGTCACTGCTAGCTGTCTACTTATTGTGCCAGCATTGCTGGTGTGGGAGGAAAATGTGCTAATTAAGTCCTCTTTTTTGTTATTTCAGGAAACCTACCATATGAATATAAAATAGTGATTGCTGGGAATCATGAACTGACATTTGATAAGGAATTCATGGCAGACCTTGTTAAACAAGATTACTACCGCTTTCCCTCTGTGTCCAAATTGAAACCAGAGGACTTTGACAATGTTCAGTCACTCCTGACAAATAGTATTTACTTACAAGATTCAGAGGTAACAGTTAAAGGATTCCGAATATATGGTGCCCCGTGGTAAGTCTCAATTTCAACTTTCTTTGCTGTTTATTGCTTGAACCACAGCA